AGGGGCGAGGGACGAGGGAGGGGAGGTGAGACGAAGAGAGAGCAAGCGAGAGATGGAGGGAGAGCGAGAGGAGAGATGAGAGAAGAGAGAGAGGAGAGAGAGAGGAGTGACGCGAGAGAGAGAGCGAGATGAAGAGAGATTGGCAGACAGAGAGACACGGAGACAGAGAGACAGAGAGACAGCGAGGACAGCGAGACAGAGAGACAGAGAGGACAGGATGGGAGAGGTGGAAGAGAGCGAGAGAGGCAGGAGAGGGAATGAGACAGTATGATTGACAGAGCAGACGCACGAGGAGACGAGCCAGAGTGAGGGTGGGATGAGGGGAGAGGGCGCAGAGGGGCCTGCGAGAGAATGGGAGGACGGCGGCATGGGATGATGGAGGGCAGGCGCCGGGGGGAGAGCGAGTCGGCGGGACTGGAGCAGATGAGAAGAGATGATGAAGACAAGAGATCCCTCACAAGCAATAAGTACTGCCAGACGCCCAATTGGTGACCTTACGTTTGTACCTATCATTGCTCGCTTGTGTGGCGCACGTCTGCTCTTCTCCCCGCAGCGATGCGTATCGTCGTCAATGGCGTTGTCTGCGTGGTGGCCGCTGCGTGCGTCGTGCCGCTCCGCCACTGCATCCGTTCTCTCCTGCCACGATGGCCGCCACCCTGCAGACTTATTAGAGTGGCAGTGCGTGGAATGGCACAGTCGCGGACGCTGCGTGCGACGCATGCTAGTTCTAAGTAACGACACGCCCGCGCACGCCGCACGCAGCGCACGCACACATGCACACATTGCACGCACGAGCGCAGCACGGCATTACAGGACGCTGCATGGTGTAACGCACGCACCACACCGCCGCTACGCATACAGACGCTGCTCGTGTGTAACGCTCCCACACAACACATTACGCACGACGCGCATTACAAGACGCTGCTGGTGTAACTGCTGCACGGCACACACACACACATGAGCCACGCGCTGCGATGCTTCTGTGTGCCTACTCACTGTAGTGCATGTGCGCGTGCACGCACAAAACACACTCCCTACGCTAAGCACCCACGTCCTACGCAATGCAACACACACTCCCATTTATGCAAAGAACACACACACACTCCCATACGCAAGCACACACACACATTCCCATACGCATGCACACACACACACTCCCATACGCATGCACACACACACACACTCCCATACGCATGCACACACACACACACTCCCATACGCATGCACATGCACACACTCCCATACGCATGCACACACACACTCCCATACGCACGCACCCACGCACGCACGCACACGCAAATACAGATGCTGCTGGTGTGAGCCAAGTATTCGTAGGGGCTGGTATTCATGGTAACGCAGAGTACCATTTGTGCAGTTTTAGTTGTCAGAATAGTGTGTATTTGTGCTTACCTTGATGTCACATTACCATGTTATTTGTGCTTACCTTGGTCTTATAGTAACAAACATGCTTAATTTGTGCCTTTATACTTAGTGCAGCAACTGTATTTGTGTTGCGTACTTTGTTGTCGCCTACACCATTTTGTGCTCAGACCGAGTATTCGCTTGTAGCCAGGAGAACCTGTATTTATGCTTGCCCTCACAGTACTCTGTGTGTGTTCAGCGCGCCTAGCCTATGAAGCAATGACAATGTAAAGTGTATTTTATGCTTGCCCAACACAGTACTGCTGTAGTGGCTGTTTCAGCGCTAGCTATGAAAGCAGATATCGTATCCTGCTATTTTTGCTTTACCTTGCCCTCACCAGTACTCTGTGTGTGTTTCAGCGCCTAGCTATGAAGCAGATATGTATCCTGTATTTATGCTTGCCTCACAGTACTCTGTGTGTTGTTGTTCAGCTGCTATAGCTTATGAAGCAGACATGTATCCTGTATTTATGCTTGCCTCACAGTACTCTGTGTGTGTTTCAGCGCCTAGCTATGAAGCAGACATGTATCCTGTATTTATGCTAATCGTGGCTCGCGGGTGTTTCAGCTCCTACGAAGCAGACATGCTAGAGGAACAGAAGGCAAAGGCGATGGCGCTGGAAGCGAAAACATACAGCGCAGTGCTACGCAGCAGCTAGTAGTCAACGTCTCACGGCGGCGGCGGCGGCGGCGGCAGAAACGCATGCCACTTGTTTCTGTACGATCGATCACTGTCGTAGAGGGCAGCACTGTGGCAATGTTGCTTTCTTGATCTCGTGTCGTAGCGTGCGTTAATTGGAAGGGTGTGCGGAAATTATGTATAGCACCATGATGACATCATAGTGTGATTGGGAGCTATTTATAGCACCATTATATCATTGTGATGTGGTTGGGAGCTATTTATAGCACCATTATGTCATTGTGACATGGTTGGGGAGCTATTTATAGCACCATGATGTCATCATGGTGTGATTGGGGAGTTATTTATAGCACTGTGTTGTCATGGTGTGATCAGGGAGCTATTTATAGCACCATTATGTCATCGTGATGTGATCGGAAAGCTATTTGTAGCACCATGATGTCATTATGTGTTTGAGGGGTTATTTATAGCACAATGATCTCATTTATGTGTTAGCAGCGAGCTATTTATAGCACCCTTATATCATTCTGTGATCAGGGCGCTATTTTAGCATAACGATGTCATTGTGGTATAATCACTGAATTGTTTATATGGCCAGTAACGGTAAACATTTTTCACGGCAACGAACCGATATAGATATGTGATCTGACCTCTGAGTGACCTCGTATGTGTGATATGGCTAGTAACCAAATTATATGTGATATGGCATCATGCCATTTATAACCAGGTACATTGTGATATTATAAGTAACCACATTTGTGATATGGCACGTATATAGTTAGGATACACGCGGCGGCACAGTAAGGCTCATAGGGTCTATGTCCCCCAGGGTAGTGCCGGAACGTACCCAGAGTACGGTCCGGTATAATGGAACATACCCTGGTAAGTTGGTAACTATTTGATATGGTTAGGGTTAGGGAGTAGGCGTAGGCGACTCCCTAGACTCGTTAGTGGAGTAGGCGAGGTATGGTCCGGCATATTAGATAATACCATGGTACGTTCCGGCAGTACCCTGGGGGACATAGACCCTCTCAGCCACAGTAAGTGTCTGCAGATTCATGGCGCGGCGTGCGACCACGTGTGTCATGGCATCCGACCGGATGAATTTATACGTATGAGATGTTATGTTAGGGTTTCTATTGACTGACGACATGTATTCATATAACACGTCTTGTGTATGCACTACTCGCGCGAACACGTGTGTCATGGCATCCGACCGGATGAATTTATACGTATGAGATGTTATGTTAGGGTTTCTATTGACTGACGACATGTATTCATATAACACGTCTTGTGTATGCACTACTCGCGCGAACACGTGTGTCATGGCATCCGACCGGATGAATTTATACGTATGAGATGTTATGTTAGGGTTTCTATTGACTGACGACATGTATTCATATAACACGTCTTGTGTATGCACTACTCGCGCGAACACGTGTGTCATGGCATCCGATCGGATGAATTTATACGTATGAGATGTTATGTTAGGGTTTCTATTGACTGACGACATGTATTCATATAACACGTCTTGTGTATGCACTACTCGCGCGAACACGTGTGTCATGGCATCCGATCGGATGAATTTATACGTATGAGATGTTATGTTAGGGTTTCTATTGACTGACGACATGTATTCATATAACACGTCTTGTGTATGCACTACTCGCGCGAACACGTGTGTCATGGCATCCGATCGGATGAATTTATACGTATGAGATGTTATGTTAGGGTTTCTATTGACTGACG